TGATGGATGGCTCAGAGCCGAGTGGACAAAAGCAATCTGCGCTCCCTTGTAACTCAATCCACAGCTCCAAGAGCAGCTGTCGCTGCAGCCGCTTATCGGCTTGCTCCACTTCTGGAGGCCTGGGGAGACCAAATCGCAAAGTGCCTTCGTGCTTGTAGGGGAGGTTGAGTTTAGCACAAAAAGACCCCCAGGGAGCCTAGCGAAATCCACCTTGCTGCAATTGATCACAGCGGAGCACAGAATACAGCTTTTAACTTGGCGTCTGAAACTCTTTCCTTGGAATCAGGGCTTTTATAAACAACGAGTTTATAGTCCTCGTGGTTTTGGAGGAACAACCTTCTTCTTCTTCTTCTTCTTCTTCTTCTTCTTCTTCTTCTTCTTCGATCACTCGTAGCTAGTAAGATTGTCTTCCATAAACACGGTTTTAACAATGAGTCCGTAAGTGACTGTGGAGGCCAATTCTGGACCACACGTCCTTCCACAGTGGGGACATTGTTTCTGGGCGGGAGTTGATCACGATGTGGATTCCTCTCTGGAGGCATTGCTAAGCTAGAGACACCAATGGACTGACTCCGTGTAAGTCAGCTTGCTAAGTATAATAAGGACATTACCAAAAACTTGCAGCACGTGCAACTGTTCCGTTGGATTGCTTTATGACGCCAGCTTGAAACTCTGCTGTCTGCTAATGCAACGGATCTTGCACTAGTGGGCAGAAGGCTGATGCAGCCCAGTGTCACCCAAGTCCTCAGGTAGTTCTCTATCCCTTCTCCATCATCGCTACAATGTGCAGCTCTGCTTCCACCCTCAGGTCATCCCTTCTGTAGTCTGAGGCGTCAAGCTTTGAGTGGGGCTTTGCACACCGAGATTTCAAAAAAACCCCTGTAATGCTGTCTCCACCCATCCTCTGCTTTTCCTTGGTTCTCCTGGGTGCAGCTGGTGCTCAGAACGCAAGACGTAAGTCTATGGTACTTATAAACGTGTTCACATTCAATGGATTGCTGTACATTTCCTTCCCAAAAGGTTCACAACTCAGGGCTTGGTTTGAGCCGAGGCTGCTCTGCATCTTCTTTGCAATGGCTGCACCCGCAAGATGAAATACGAAATGTGTGTGTCCTTGCAGAAGTGTCTCCTCAGTGAGAAAGAAGAATGTTCCCAGCCCATAGGAATATGCCTCATACCAAGTCAGACTATTGGTCCATTATCTCAGCACTGTCTATAATGTCTGGCTGCAGCTCTCCAGGATTTCAAACACAATCGTACCTTGGATCCCAAACACCCTGCGACTCGAACGTTTTGGTTCCCGAACGCCGCAAACCCGGAAGTGAGTGTTCCGGTTTGCAAACGTTCTTTGGAACACAAATGTCCGGCGTGGCTTCCAATTGGCTGCAGGAGCTTCCTTCAGCTCTGCCTGGAGATGCTGGGGACTGATAAATAATAATAATAATAATAATATATAATAATAATAATAATATAATATCCCCGCCCATCTGGCTGGGTTTCCCCAGCCTCTCTGAGCAGCTCCCAACAGAATATTAATACTAATAATTTTTAAAAAGCGATAAAACATCAAATATTAAAAACTTCCCCAAAAAGGGCTGCCTTCAGATTGAACCTAGGACCTACCGAGCTACAGATGCTGCTAATGCTTTTGTCTGAGTTGCGCCTTTTTTTAAAAAAAATGTATTTAGGGAACATGCACAAGAACTCAAACCAGAACAGAAAGAGCACTGATCCATCAGTTTCCATTTCAGGAATAGCAAAAAAGTTGTTAACTTACCTACAGGTTGAGCATGAGGGAAGTCTGTAACTTCTCCCTCATCAATAACCGAAGTCCACCATATTATTGTTCCTTCTTCCTCGTTCTTGGTCCTGCCTGCTCCCTCCGGAATGTGATTTGTTTCACAAGGCCTGGATATGCCCTGGGGAAACCACCTGTGCGTCTCAGCACTGAGGCATCCAGCCCTACGATGACATTCCAAGCATAGATTGCACCCTTCCCTATTCAGGCAGGACAGCTCTGCCAACCAGGCCCAGTTTGCACAATCGAGGTCACGACTCGCACAAAATTATTGCATCACGGATACACCTGGGAGGAGTGCCGCCTGGTGGGGAAGGCCGGCTCCCCCTAAGGCCCAACTAAACACACCTGGTTTAGAGTTCTGTCACTGATTTTTCATTAAGCAGCCAGTGCAATGGACCCCAGAGTCAGACCGAGACTGTGGCCTGGCAGGAAAGTTGGCCTTAACCCTTTAGCTCCTGCTGTGACCCCGGCTGAAATTCTTCCCACTCCAACTATGCCTGCTATTCACGATGGAATAAAACCTCCCATTGATTTTAATCTTTAACAACAACAAAAGAGAGTTGTTTAACCACCAATCTCTCTTCCTAGGGAAGGACTGCTATAGCTCAGTGGCAGAATGTCACGGGTGCAATCCCCAGGATTTTCAGTTAGCAGAGGTGCAATGGTTAAAGTGTTGGACCAGGAACTGGGAAAGCTGGGTTCAAATCCCTACTCAGCAATGACGCTCCCTGACCTTGGGCCGGTCACCACCTCTCACCCTGACCTACCACACAGGGTTGTTGTGAAGATAATATGGAGAGAGCTATGTATGTCACCTTGAATCATAGAATCATAGAGTTGGAAGAGACCACAAGGGCCATCGAGTCCAACCCCTTGCCAAGCAGGAAACACCATCAGAGCACTCAGAGCACCTTGAGCTCCTTGGAGGAATAATAATAATAATAATTTCATTTATAAAAAGACATAGAATGAGAAAAAAGAAAGAAAAAAGTGAGTGAAAATGAAAAAATACTGTTGCATTATCATACATTGATATACAGTTGTGCATACAGGGGTACCTCGGGTTACAGATGCTTCAGGTTAGACGCTTCAGGTTACAGACCCAGAAATAGTACCTCGGGTTAAGAACTTTGCTTCAGGATGAGAACTGAAATCGTGCTCCAGCGGCGCAGCAGCAACGGGGAGCCCCATAAAGTAGCTAAAGTGGTGCTTCAGGTTAAGAACAGTTTCAGGTTAAAAACGCACCTCCAAACGAATTAAGTTTTTAACCCGAGGTACCACTGTATTCTTATTGTACCAGTATTTATTGAATGAATGAATGAATGAATGAATTTATATACCACCCTATACCTGGAGGTGTCAGGGCGGTTCACAAAAAGATCACAATATATAAAATCCAAATAAGAATAACCCCCCCCCAAAAAAAAACCCCACACATAATTGTCAATAACCTAGTATATTCTGTGTAAACTCATTCCATTTTTTGTCAATTATTTTTATTGATTTTCCAAAGTACAACCCAATTTTCACTAATGATTACACATTGATACCAAATTAATACAATTTTAATTAAATGACTTCTCACTCACCACTGTAAACTCACTCACTGTATTTATCCATGGAAAGCCTGCGTCTGAAAGCTGTCTGTTCCTATGTTACAAATGTTGTCAAGCCATTGATTAAGGGGAAATGTACAGTGGTACCTCGCAAGACGAATGCCTCGCAAGACGAAAAACTCACAAGACGAAAGAGTTTTTCGTTTTTGAGTTGCTTCGCAAGACGAATTTCCCTATGGGCTTGCTTCGCAAGACGAAAACGTCTTGCGAGTTTGTTTCCTTTTTCTTAAAACCGTTAATACTGTTAAAACCGTGCTTCGCAAGGCGAAAAAATCGCAAGGCGAAAAAACTCGCAGAACGAATTAATTTTGTCTTGCGAGGCACCACTGTATCTCCATTCTTCCAATTTACCCGTATCAGTCTCTCGGCCACCATTAGGGCACACAGAATCCATTTTCACTGTCCTGCTGCCAACTTCCATACAATAGGTCTATAGTTCAAAAGCACAAGACACTGAGGTGACCAAAGTCTGATTTCTCTTTCCAGCTACATCCTCTCCCATGACTCCTCTGGCAGGTCACACAACAGCCCAGTTGCAATACTCGAAAGGCAGCCATCGCACCTTTTTGGGGACACCCAAGCTCCTGGATGTTCCTGAAGAAGACACAGCATCAATGGCTGCCCAGGACAGCATCATCAAGGCCACAGACCAGGCTGCAACTACAGCTACACCACCCAGTCTGAAAGCCTATAGCAAGTGGCGCTATAGAGAGACGCCCAAAACAGAAACCCAGAAGGACCTCCAAGTGAGTCTTCTGGCCAGAATTAGGCAGAACACAGAAGAGGCTCCTTTTTGGATTAAGAGGTTGGGAGGAACTTCTACAATCTGCTGCACTCCTGCTACCGGCTCAGCAAGCTACAGCATCCTAGAGGGAACCACGATGCGTGGGATGAGAGGACAAGATGAAGCAGATGGAAATAAAATGAGGACAGCTGTAATTCAAAACAGCCAAGACCTGGGGCACCTTGTCCCATCACAGCCTGACAACTTCAAGCCAAGCCCTTCCTCCGGTCCACGCCCATACCAGCCGCTAAGGTCTGGTATTACGTTTACTTCTCCACCAATGGATGCATCGTGGTCGGTGACAGAGTCCAACACCAGCACTAAAGGAGGAGGCGCAGTAGACCACCGCTCTCCTGTACTGGTTTTGCTCTTCTTTCTCTTCCTCCCTCTTCCCCTCTGTATACTGTGCTGGCTCGGGGCACGAAGCAGGCGCCCCGATGATGCATAAATTGGGCAGGGGGAGATTTGGTGGCGTTGGGGAGCTTGGGAAGCAGTGGTGTCTGGTAGGGAGGAAGACAGGGAGACAAACAGTAGGTGGCGCCAGAGCCAATGACAGGCAGCTCACCCTGGTTTTGTCCCCATCCTCCTTCCTGCTGAGTTCTACAAGGGCAATACTTCCAGGAATAAGAAGATGAGAGGGAATGTCACCCATGGACCGGGTGTAAGAAGACAGGCAAGCATGGGTTGGCTGCAGCTGGTGAAGACTATCACCCTATCAAGGGACCAGCCACGCAATGGTGGTAAAACTCACCTATACCAAATCAGATCGTTGGCCCACCTAGCTCAGTATTGTCTACACTGACTGGCAGCTGCTCTTCAGGGTTTCAGGCAGGGGTCTCTCCCAGCCTACCTGTGGGGGTTGAACCTGGAACCTTCTGCATGCAAATCAGGTGTTCTGCCATTTGCGCTATGGCCCTTCTCCCAGACTTTTCCATGCCATGTTATGAAGTGCTGCTTTAGCAACGAATGGATGAGGGTCAAGGCTGCTTTGCAATTCCACCTGGCGGCAGAGCAGAGGGGAAGCAGCACAGGAGGGCTGTGTCACTGCCTCTGCTCAAAGACCAGCTGTGATTGGTCCACCATCAGGAGCAGTAGCCAGTCGCTTCAGGCCTACCAAACAGTTTCCAGTTGCTTCCCAACAGGTCCTTAAAAGGACTTTAAGAACTAGTGTCTGGCATGCTTCCTCCTCCATCCCCGCCCCTTTTCCTTGTGTGTTGTGAAAGCCTGATCATATCAGTTGCTCTGGGCGCCTTTTTGGCTAGAGTATTGTATACATGTTGTAAATAATAAACAAATGAACAAAAGCATTTGGGGTTCAATTGCTGCCTAGTCTTCCTAATCTGTTTGCATCACCCATCTCCGGAGGGGTGTGGCCCCAACCAGAAAGGTTCCCTGTGAGAAAATGTGGCTCTTGGGTTGGAAAAGTTTCCTATCAGCCCATGGATCAAAAGGAAGCTACTCTTCAAATCAGTGCTTATCAGAATTTTATCAATGCAGTTTCCCCAACTCAAATCATGTTCAAATATGCATAAAGGTATGGCTGAGCATGCATAAAAATCCACAAGTTTGTGAAAACAACATACAAAACACATTTAATGGGGGGGGGGAGTGTTTGCAAAAATGTGCACATGTTCTGCCTCTCTCATGTTTGGGGGAAACTGTGAACCAGTCTTTTTAGAGGCGAGAAGAGGCGAGCTCCTTTCGTAGCTCTCACCTCACTCTAACTGCAGAGGCTTCCTCGCATGTGTTTGCGCGTGATTTTTGTTCCCATGAAAGAACCGCACGATGCTGGTCCAGGAACCAGAGATCCTGATCCGGTAGTGAATGAGGCCTCCCCGTACATCGTAGATATTGATCTTATTCTCCCCTTCGCCAGAGGCAAAGTTCAGCACCTGCCCGCCGCAGTCTACAACCATGTGGGCATTGTCCTGGACGCAGAACGGCTCCTTGGCAAACTCTTCCACTGCAAACTCCAAGCAGTGCCCTAGTTCCTCGGGAAGAACCCCCCAGGAGCGCAAGCTCTGCCTCACTCTCAGCAGGTCTCCGACGCTCAGCGGCTCCTTGCGAATGGCCAACCTCGCAAGGTACATTTCAGCCGTCCGCTCTTTGATATCACACTGGATCCGCTTGTATAGGACATATACAGAAATCTGGCAGTCCCCCTTGCCAGACCGAAACTCTATGGGGGGTCCGCCGCACTGGATAACCAGCTGGGCATTTTGCTGCACAGACCAGGGCTCCTGGAGAAAGGTATCAATGGCCTTGTTGAAACAGGCTTGGAGTATGTAGTTGATGCCATCCAGCCGATCACGGTGCCTTAGGAGATTCTCAGCTGTCAGTGGTTCGTAAGAGGGCAGCAGGTTAGCCATGTACAACAGGGCATCCTTCATGATATTGAGGACACTGGTGGGCTTCCACAACTGCTTAGCTGTCACAGCAACCTCGTGGTCCGTGCCCATGGGGGAATAATCCGCTTTGTTCATGGCTATCCACATCGTGGAGAGGAGAACAGCGAGCGCCACCACGACAGTCAGCAGTTTGTTCATGAATCTCCAGAGCTGAGCTGTAAAACATGGGATGACGATGCTGAGAGCCCATTGCAAGACAGTGCTGAGGACAGACGCCATGTTTCCTTTAAAAAGAAGAGAAATATCATTAGTGCTGGGAGGTGGAATTAATTGGCAGTTTTTGTTTCCACAATTTAAAATAAAATAAAAATAAAAATAAAAATTTGTTCCCGCCACTCCGGACAGCTTCCAACAGAATATTAAAATACAATAATCTATTAAACATTAAAGCTTCCCTAAATAGGGCTGCCTTCAGATGTCTTTAAAAAAAAGGTAAAGGACACCTGACAGTTAAGTCCAGTCGCAGACGACTCTGGGGTTGCGGAGCTCATCTCGCTTTACTGGCCGAGGGAGCTGACATTTGTCCGCAGACAGTTTTTCCGGGTCATGTGCCAGCATGACTAAGCCGCTTCTGACGAAACCAAAGCAGCGCACGGAAACGGCCATTTACCTTCTCACCAGAGCAGAACCTATTTATCTACTTGCACGTTGATGTGCTTCGAACTGCTAGGTTGGCAGGAGCTGGGACCAAGCAACAGGAGCTCACCCCATTGCGGGGATTTGAACCGCCAACCTTCCGATCAGCAAGCCCTAGGCTCAGTGGTTTAGACCACAGCACCACCAAATCAGGTTAGAGGTTCAGTATCTGGAGAACCACAGGTTCCCCACCTCTGGTGTCTAAGACTGCAGCCTTTGTCAACTGATCCCCTAGGTTAATCCATCAAGCCATCCATCGATATACAGTGGACCCTTGGTTTTCCAACAGCATAGTTGACAAACAAACTGGCTCCCGAACACTGAAAACTCAGAAGTAAGTGTTCCGGTTTTTGAACACCGAATGTCCGACACACCTTCCACTTGAGTGCAGGAAACTCCTGCAGCCAATCAGAAGCCATGCCTTGGTTTTCAAACTGTTTTGGGAGTCGAATGGACTTCCGGTACAGATTAAGTTTGAGAACCAAGGTTCCACTGTGCTTGAAAGGTGCCTTCACAATTAATTGGTCAGCCAATCTAAATCTATAGTTTTTAAATTTAAGAATACAGCTGGTGCCACCCATCATCTTAAAAGAGGCTTTCCCACCTCTGTGTGTGAGAGAGAAAATATGCATGCTTGCATCAACTAACTGAAAACTTTGCTGTGCGCTCCCCTTTTATCCTCCTGTGCAAAACTCAACAGATTTTGCAATGGTCCTAGAAAGGGGAGGCATGCAGGCATGTATGTCCCATTGCCTTAGGTGTGACATTCCTGATACTTTCTTACACAAGACAGTGAGGGTAGGATTGCAGCCTCAGGTTGTGCACACACTCACCCGCTAGTGCCACAAAAAATTAGTTTTTCTCAATCCATTCATGTTCATCTCCAAAATGCTTTCAGTCCAGATTCAATCTAGATCCTGCCATGCACAAGAGTGGGCGTGGATACTTAATTCTTATTAGGAAATCCTCAGAGCAGATAAAACAAGTACTTCTTCATGCAGAACCTAGTTAAGCTACAGAACTCCCTCCCACGGGAAGGAAGCGATGCTCACCAACTTAGATGGCTTTAAAAGCGGATCAGGCAAATTAATGGAGGAGAAGGCTAGCTATGCGACAGAATGCGGCAGCTAGATGGGTGTCTGGGAGTGGCCACCGAGATCATATAACCATATAAGACCATATAAGGTCTTGAAACACCCACATTGGCTCCCAGTACGTTTCCAAGCACGATTCAAAGTGTTGGTGCTGACGTTTAAAGCCCTAAACAGCCTCGGCCCAGAATACCTCAAGGAGCGTCTCCACCCCCATCGTTCAGCCCAGACACTGAGGTCCAGCTCCGAGGGCCTTCTGGCGGTTCCCTCACTGCGAGAAGTGAGGTTACAGGGAACCAGGCAGAAGGCCTTCTTGGTGGTGGCACCCACCCTGTGGAACACTCTCCCTTCAGATGCCAAGGAAACAAACAACTATCAGAAGGTAGCCCTGTTTAGGGAAGTTTTTAATGTCTAATGCGTTGCATTTTTTATGTGCTGTAATAATAATAATAATAATAATAATAATAATAATAATAATAATAAAAAACTTTTATTTGTATCCTGCCCTCTCCAGCCAAGACCAGGTGCAGGGTGGCTAACATCAAATATAAACATTGATATAAAATCAAACAATAATTAAACCACCTCTTAAAAACAACTCAGGATAAAATTAAAATCTGGATTAGATGGCTTTCCGCAGGCCTCCCAGAGTGGCTGGGGAAACCCAGCCAGATGAGCGAGGTATAAATAAATAAAAAATTGTTATTATTACAATAAGCCAAACTGTTTCCCGGAAGAGAACGCTCCAGTTGCAGATTTCGGTTTCTATCTTGCACATGTAAATCCTCCTCTGGTTCTTGCCAAATGAACCACTGCGTCCTTAACATTACAAACCTGACGACTGCAATCCGGATGAGCAGCAGAGAGTCACCTGCACTTCCGTGTGGAATGCGATCTCGGGAAGAAATAAAAATCCCCTATGAAAAATTACACCTGCCTCCTCAGTGACTTACGGTACATATCGCACGCCGCCGTTTCTCCGTCTTCTCCTACAATGAGAGCAATCCTACTTTGTTAACTTCTCAGTTTCGGGTTCCTGCAATACACGTGACTCCACCTTGGCGCACGGCGCTGCCTCTAACAGCGCGCAACGAACAGGTCCTAAAGTCGGTTTTCCCCTTTACTCGGTTCAGGAGAAATAAAGAAAAAAAGTGTTCTCCCCGACTGACGCGATCGTGCCATTTCTCTCCCTTGCAAAATAATAAAAATAATAATAAAAGCATTTTACCTGCTTCGATTACTGACTTTATAAACAAATATATTTTCTCCCCCGCCGCACACTTCGCACGCACTTTTGGATGTGCACCGCACAGCAAATTTTATGGTAATTTCACCCCTATCCCCCTCCCCCCCGCTTAAAAATAATAGCGATTCTGTTGCGGTCCGAACTCATTCCTTCCACCAGGAGGCAGCAAGGAACAATAAGCAGCTTGGAAACCGAAAGTCGATCGTAGATGCACCGGGAAATCAGGGCGCTTCTGGAGCCGCCGCGCGCGCAAAACAAAACGGCCGCCCCTCGGGAAACCCCCTCAGCGCCCCCCACTCCAAACGATCTG